TCTGTATCTCTGTGTGTCTCTGTGTGTCTGTGTGTCTGTGTCTCTCTGTCTCTCTGTGTCTCTCTATCTCTGTGTGTCTCTGTGTGTCTGTGTCTCTCTATCTCTGTGTGTCTCTGTGTGTCTGTGTGTCTGTGTCTCTCTGTCTCTCTGTGTCTCTCTCTGTGTGTCTGTGTGTCTCTCTCTGTGTCTCTCTGTCTCTCTGTCTGTCTCTGTCTCCAGGCCCGTCACTTCCGTCTCTACAGTCAGGAGGTGGTGGAGCTCGGTCACGGCGTCTCCTTCCTGCTGCTGCTTCCTCCTGCTGATGATGTTTGCTCCGCCCCCGGACAGTCCAACCCCTACAGCCCGCTCTCAGGGTTCCTGCACCTGCCGCTGCAGATGTTTGAGCTCGGTACCGGACCTTTACAGATTTACTGAAACTGTGTGGTCTGCAGTACGGTCTGTCCTGGACTCTGCAGAACCTTTGGTTCTGGATTTCAAACGTTTCACTGAACTTTTTTAATTGAGAGCTGAACGTCCAGAACAAACCAGCTGCAGGTTAAAGAGTCCATCGATTCTGGTTCTGTGACCCAGAACCTCTTCATGTGGACGCTGGGTTCTTTTCCTCAATTTGACCTTTTGTCCTGTTCTTTGTCCTCAGTTCATTTCTGCACCTACAAGGAGAAGTTCATCAGTCTGTACTGCCGTCTGTCCTCAGTCCTGGACCTGGACGCCCTCATTACCCAGCAGGCACTGCGGGAGGCTATCACCGACAGCGAGGTGACCACCGCCAAGCATCGACACCAGCTCGTCCTGGACTACATCCAGGTGAGGAACACTAGTTTCGGGTCCTACCTGAAGGTTAAACTTGTGTTTTGTGTCCGTGTTGCCATGGAGACCATCAGTGGTAGTCAGCATGGCGCCGGTCCACATGGACCGGTACCCGACCGCAGGTTGCTCAGAACTAAAAGAAGCTTCAAACATGTTTTATAAAAAGTTGCAGATTTATTCTTTTCAACTTTCAGTGTAAAAATCTGATCTGAGTCCATGAGACGCCCCGTGGACCCAGACAATGATCTGTGAAGGTTTTGATCCGACGTTTTTAAAGAACCTTTTGTTGCAACGAGCTGAAACGAGACCTGATCCGGGTCCTCGTGTGTGTCTGCAGCAGCTGGACGAGGTGCGGCGGGATCTTCGTTGGATCACGGACGCCCTGCAGTCCGCCCGCTACAAGCAGCCCTGCGGCGGCGCGCCCATCACCTGCCTGGTGGACGCCAACGCTCCAGAGAGCGTCTCGGGTCAGCAGAAAACCGACTCCACCTCCTCCAACATGGACTACCTGCCCACACCGTCCCCGTCCCCGGAGCTCCGCCGGAGGACGGCCATCAGTGGTGAGTCAGACCCAAATGGTTCTGATCAAAAGAACAAAGCCGAGCTTCACACTGACCTCTGTCTGACAGACTCTCTGCTGGGATCTGATGAGGACGGGTCCTCCGAGGTCTTCCTGCCCACCGACAGCGATTACGACTCCGGTGACCCCCTGAGTCCACGAGAACTGGACCTGTTCTACTCTCCAGGCCCAGACTTCTCCCAGCAGGCCGTGCACTCGCTGGGCGGCAGCGCCCCTGATGTCCTACAGGTCAACGAGCTCAGGTGACTCAGGCTGCGTGTTGTAGGACGGCTCGGTCCTGGGTCTGTAGTATGAAGGAGACTCCGGTAGTTACCGTTAATCAGGACCACGTAGAACTGAACAGAAGCACATGTCCTGCCTTTCTGTCCCTGTGATAGACTGAGACCTGTCCAGGGTGTCCCTGTGATGGACTGAGACCTGTCCAGGTGTCTCCCGCCTCTCATTCAGTGACTGCTTGATATGGGCACCAGTGATGAGTTAGAGATAATGAATGTATGTTTGAGGCTCCGCCCACAACATTCCATATACTTAAAACTAGGGGTTGAATGATTACATTTTAAAACGCGACATTAACATAAAACTCGAGTAGAACTCGAGTACTTGATGACATCATAGGATCCAAAGATTAAAAATAAATAAATTAATTAAACCGCAAAAAAGGTCATTATTTACAAAAAGAGACGAACAAAACATTGGGAGCGTATATTAAGCCCCCAATATACTCCCGTGTACGTCCATACGCAGAGGTACGCACGTACGTACACGGCGGTACGAGCGTACCCCCCAGTTCATGTCCGTGCAAAGCTAAATTTTTACGACCGCATACGTGTACGCGGTGTCGCACAATAAACTGCCCTGCGACGGACTGTATTGTATGCGACACCAATGTATTAAATTCTCTTCTTCATCTCTGATCTGGCCTTTTCTTTTGTTTTTTTGCCAAGAGGCAGTGATCTCTTCCTCCTCCGTTGATGCCATGACTGAAATGGAGAGAAATGAAGGAATTTGTCACGAGCGAATTAAACTCAGGTCCATCGTGGCTGCAGGAGGGTCTGGAGATTTCCTGGTGGGCTGGTCTGATGTGTGGACTGCAGAGCCAGCGCTCCCTGTTTATTTATGTTTTAGATCTTTTTATTAACAACATGTAAACACAGAACACCGCTGTGGCTGAGGCTGCCAGCGCTCACTTTCTTTTCTCCGCCCTGTCAATCAATCCAGTAGGCGTGTCAGCAAATGACCAATCGGCGACCTCAATTTGTCCTGAAGGTAAACGGCCCTTGTCTGTGAAGCTGCTCTGCAGCTGCTCGGGGTGGACGCTGGAGTACGAAGTCTGAACCCTCTGCGTACAGTACACGCGTATATACGCGTGAACGGACGTACGCGGCAGTGTACTGGAGCCTTTATGCTCCTCCCATTTATCATACAGCAAATAAGTCACAGGAAAACTAAAACTATTTTTTATTATTAAGCTGCAAAATTGAAAGAAACATGCGGCACGTCAAAAACGAAACTAAAAACAGTGGGGGGGTCGACCACCACCAGCTGTGGTGCACATTAGGTTTAGTTTTAGAGATTAATATGTTTATAAGCTTTTTATAGGTTTAGAGATTAATATTTTTTGCTTTTTGTTCGTGAAACAAGGTCAGAGGAAGCTGGTTCTGGTTCGGTCGATTGGACCCGGTGTCGCACCATATTCTGTGACCTGCAACAGTGCATGCAACACCGCCCCCTACGGTCACAGAATATGGTATAACACCGGTTCGCAACGCGCTCCAAACAGTCAGGAGGTTGATTCATTTTCTGTTTCCTTACGGTAGTTGAACCAGAAGATTCATCTGTAGTGAAATATTTCCAGATTATTGATGCAGTTCTACCCGTTTGTCAAGACTGGGTCTGCTCTGCTCCATCAGTCTGCTGGGAGGAATCCATTTTGTAACCTGCGCCGGTGCGGATCACGTGACGCAATGAAATAACGGCGACGTAATGACGTCACCACGAATACTCGACGTGAAATTTAAAAAACTCGATAGATGTCCTAGGAATCGATGTGTAGATTACTCGAGTAGTCTGTTAAAGCCCTACTTAAAACACACATGTTGGTGATAATGGCTGAGGGGGTTCTTGATGTGGCGCCACCTGCTGGTGTAGTTCAGGTACTACAGTGTTTGTATTGATTCATGCTCAATTATCCAGGTAGAATAATCCAATAAAGTTAAGTCAGGTCCTCTGGACGGATTCTTCTTGTTGAAATGTTTTGTTGGTGGACTACAGGAACCATCTGAGCACCATCAAACTGGTTGACCCACTATGGACTAGCCTGTATAAATAGTGGTTGAATGTGAAGGTGCTATTTGAGTTTGTTGCAGCTCCTCAGACTGTTGAAGTCTTTTGGATTAAAGACCAAATGTTTCAACAAAAAGAAACCATCCAGAGGATCTGACTTAGCTTTGTTGGATATAGAGAGAATATTTGTACTTAAGTAGGCGGAGCTTAAAAACTGATTTTTGTGTTTTTATCTAACTGTCTGTTGATCAAATTAACTCAGACCGTCTCAGGTTGTTGAGTTCTGAAGAGAGAGACTGGATCTGCATCAGTACACATGGAGCCACCAAAAACATTTAGACCAACCTTTACTTTGAAAAAAGTTTTTAAAACAAAAACTGTGTAGATGAAAAGTAATGTGGGCGGAGCCTACGTTTGGATTTACAGGCAGGCGCCTGTTAAGAGGTGTTTGTTTCCAAGTAATCTGATTACAGATGTAGTGGATTAATGTGAACTAATCTCAGAATCAGAATCAGCTTTATTGTCACTGCACAGAAGCACAACAAAATTATATTTTAGTACAGCCCATCTGAAGAAACACAAACAAACAAACAAACAAACAAGAGCTGGGGTAGACGGGGTGTCTGAGGCTGCAGCCTCACTGAGAGGTGCTTCCTTTAGATTAGAAAAAGGGGAACACAAGGGAAGAAGAGGTAAAAAATCATATCTCACACTGTGTCCCTAACAACACAAACAGCCACAAACAGACAAAGACACGTGCATGTGGAGTGGGTGAGGGTGGGGGTCTCAGCACAGGCAGCCCAAGTGAGCGGCGCAGCCACTGGTGCCTTTGCATCTCCTAGGTTGCTGCACGGTGGAGGTGTGGGCGATAAGGGAGGCCAGCGAAGGTTGAATTTGAGGGGAAGTAGTTCGTGAATAGTGTCCAGATAGCCCCCACCCCCACCCAGCCATGGTCCTGATAAGTGTGGTTATCAGCCGGCTCGGTAGAGCTCTGACATAGGTCCATGTCCTTGGGGAATGGAGTGGGTGGGGGGGAGCAGAGCATCTTGTTCACCTAACATCCAGGAGAATCTGAGATGGTCATCGTTCCAAGGCCAGCGCGGTGGAGCCAGGTTCAGAGAGCAGCATTTGTTTTGGGTCAGGCCGAGCTCTGTTAATGTACGTCTGCCTTTACAATTTTGCCAGTACATCTCATGGCGACTCCAAACAGTCAAATTGTGATTACATACGCTAAGTCGAGCTTACAACTTCTCTAAGATCTATTCCTTCCCACCAACGAGATTCAGGAGCCGCAAGCCTGTGGTTCTCAGCAAGAATCACGTTCGGCTTACGGTTCAGCTCACACAGCATCTGAGTGTGAGCGTTGACAGCACGGCACATTCCTTCACACATGCCGGGCAGCTTCACAACGGCCAGAACAGCTGCTGATGTTTTCTGAATGTGGTGATATGCCAGGTAACCTACTCCAAAAAGCAGAAATCCTGTTTTCATAAATCCAATTGTGAACACATCTTCAACATCCTTGATCGACAATATGGACAGACACATGATCTTCTACTTCCCCTAGGAATCCATCTTGTATCTGGCTGCAAGTGTCCCGTTGGGGCAGGAGGGCTGTCCTTCGCCCTGTCTTCTCGTTGAGAAAATTTAATCAATTGCGCTGAGAGACCAGCTGACCAGATCCATAGTTTATGATTTACCATACCATACCATACCAATTTATTTATAAAGCACTTTAAACAGTGACAAAGCACACCAAAGTGCTGTACAGGGACAAACAGAACAAGCACATAGCAACAGATTACATAACAGGACACCAAAAAGTAGAAACCAACAAAAACAATAATGGATAACAACAACAACCGCAACATGACCAACACAGTGTGATGCACACAGACTCAGCACAGATCACACAGTGCAGAAAGCCAGGGAATAAAAGTGTGTTTTTAAGCGAGATTTAAAAAGTGTGAGGGAGGGGGCCTGTCTAACCAGTAGAGGTAACTCATTCCAAAGTCTTGGTCCTGCTACAGAGAAGGCCCTGTCACCTCTGCGCTTGAGACGGGTTCCTGGGACTGTTGGGAGCAACTGGTCTGCTGATCTGAGAGAACGTGGTGGGACATACGGCTGGAGCAGATCAGTAAGATAGGAGGGGGCAGAGCTGTTTAGTGATTTATAGACATACAAGAGTATTTTGAATTTGATTCGAAGGTGAACCGGAAGCCAGTGTAGGGAGGCCAAAACAGGTGTAATGTGCTCTCTTTTGCTTGTGCTGGTCAAAAACCAGGCTGCTGCATTTTGGACCAGTTGGAGTCTAGCTATGGAGGTCTGACTGATACCAAACAGGAGTGAGTTGCAATAGTCGAGCCTGGATGTAATGAATGCAAGAATTACTGTCTCCAGGTTATTTCTGGACAATATGGGCTTCAGCTTAGACAGTCGCCTCAGCTGGAAAAAGCAGGATTTAACAATCATATTTACATGATTGTTGAGTTTCAAAGAAGGGTCAAGTATCACTCCTAGATTAGTGACTTTGTTTCACTAACGGTGACAGAACGGATAGGTCGATGCAGTGGTTGGTGATTGTGTCTTTGGGAGGAAACAGCATAACTTCAGATTTCTTCTCGTTGAAACTCAAGAAATTTAAAGCCATCCAATCTCTGATGTCAGCCAGGCAGTCCAGTAACGGTTGAATAGAGCGAGTACCGTTGAGTCTGAGGGGGCAACTGCCCCCTCGGATTTGGACGATATGTAAAGAGAGGCTCTGAAAGGTTCACAGGACAAAGAGCAGAGCAGGGAAGAGCAGGAGGGAAAAGCCTCCGCCTTCACCAAGAGCAAGCAGGAAAACAACAGATTAGAAAAAACTGACTAATCTGGTTGGTAACTCTAAATTGTCCCTAGGTGAGAAAGAGCGTGAATGATTGTTTGTCTCATTTGCCTCTCTGTGTCCCTGTGATGACTGGAGACATGTCCAGGTGTCCCCCGCCTCTCGCACAGTGATTGCTGGACATGGGCACCCATGACCCAAAAAAGGAAGAAGCGAGTAAAGATGGACGGATTCATTCATTCAACCTTGATTTCTACAGGTTAATCCGATTGAGCCTCGAGGACTCATTTACAACAGAGACCTGATTTAACAGAGTGATGACATCAGTGGACAATCATAAAAGATGCGAACAGATTGAGAATAACAAGTGAAAATAAAATGGTATAAAAAATGTAATAAAAACAGCTAGATCATAAGGCGGTGTAGAAACTAAAAACAGGAACATGTCTGTGTTGGTTGTTCTCAGGAACTTATCAGATGTTTGAAGCCACTTAGAGAGGTCAAAGGTCGAGAGCTTCAGATCTTTTTACAAGATATTCCAGGAAACAGGAGCGGAGCAGGAGAAGGTCCTTTTGTCTAGTTCAGTCCTCACTGAGGGAACACTGCAGGTAATGATGTCCTGAGAGCGCACGCTGTAGCTGCACTCACACAGAGACATGTAGGAGGAGATGTAAATGATAAATGGACTGTACTTATACAGCTCCTTTCTATCTGATCCAGATACTCAAAGCTCTTTACAACAATCTGTGCCTCACTGACCCATTCATACAGCTCTATACTAGATCTGTACAAAGATAATTGAACAAATCATTCTACAGACACTAATCAGAGCTTTATCACATTCAGACACTGATGGACACACATCAGAGGCAGTGAAGGTTCAGTGTCTTACCCAGGGACTCTTCAGCATGTGACTGCTGGTGGATTCGAACCCCCAACTCTCGCATTGGAGCACGACTCCTCTAACCACTCAGCCACAGCCGCACCCTGATGATGTATGAAGGCAGCAGACCAAGAAGTACTGGGTGCAGTGGTGGGTACTGGTAGTTACAGCCAGTTAGGAATCTCAGTGCACCATGATAGACAGCATCCAACATCTGCAGACAGCATCCAACATCTGCAGACAGC